TATTTCGTCGGAAAATGTGTTTCCGACGGAAATTCCGTCGGAAAAGGTTGTTTTTCCAAGAAAGGCGTTTACGACGACAGTTTCCGAAGGAATTCCGTCGAAAACACGTTTTCCGACAAAAAAATTCTGTCGGAAATTGCCGTTTTTCTAGTAGTGATCTTATATTCATATTTGCGCAGCAACATCATATTCTCAGCAGAAAAAATTTAGAAAGGAATACGTAAGTACGTAACTGTATAACTATATATTAATAAGGTGGTATAAATTGAATTTAAGGTGATTTGAAATCGGGTTAGGTCAATAACAAGTTAGGTTGAGTTCGAAATATATGGGTCAGGAAAAATTCGAATTGAATTTGGGTCTGGTGATCAATAACAAGTCGTGTTCATTTCGGGTCGGGTTAGTAACAGATCGAGTTGAATTTTGGGTTGGGTTAGTAACAGGTCGGGTTAAATACGGGTTAAAACGGGTTTTGGTCATTCTCTATTCAGGTCAGGTTCGGTTCAGGTCAATAATTTACGAGTTATATTCAGGTCAGGTCATCTCCAGGTCGATTCATATTTGGGTTTGGGTCTCAAATACTCGGGTCTAGGGTTGGTTTCATGTCGGGTCATATCGAGTTCGGGTCACCATTTTTCCGGGTTCAAACAAGTTGGTTAATAATCGGATTCGGGTAAATTTTTTGGATCGGGTCAGCTTTTGTCAGCTCTAGGAATATCGATTGTTCTACTCTCTTTGCTTTATTAAAATGGTTTTTAATTAATTTTATTGCGAGGTCTAGTTTGAACATCTTCGTGAACATATTAAAATAATAAATTATTTTATAGTTTTTAATTTTTTTTTTAATTAACGAATTGATGTTTTCGAATTAACTAGCGAGTGTCTCAGACAATGATCTACCAATTTGTTATTTTTTATAATTTTTGTTTAATGAGAAAATTATGACGTTATGACATACTTGTAATAAATAATTGCACGATATTTGACAATAATTTTAGGTTTAATTTGAAATGAAAGAGTATCATTATTACAAGGAATTGTGGTAAGAAAAGTCTATAATAGTTTCTTGTTGTTATAAAAGTATGATAGGTTTAACTAGTGGTGTAAGTATTGCAAAAAGATATAAATATGAAACTTTATTGTCTTTAATTTTAAACATTAAACAATAATATAATGTGGGTTCCGTGTTCCATACATTCAATTGTCAATTTTTTTTATTTTTAAATTTTAGGGTTGATATGAAAATATAGCATTTATAAAAGAGGAGCGTGTCATGTAACACGAAGTTATATGAAACACTTTCTAATATACAGAAAATGTAGTAATGTAGTATAGATAATTCCATGTGTATTAGCACAAATGCATATTATTAAGGAAATTTATTTGAATGATGATTAGTCACGTCAAATAAGTGGATAGATTGAGCCATAGAAAAATAAATTAACTTTTAGAAAACCAAAGAGCAAAATTAAATACTTATGGATATGGACTTGGTCAAGCAAAGTCTAAATGCCGAGATGGTACTTTAATATTTGATGGACAATATTGAATCTAATAAAACAGGTAGAATTATGATGCCTTTGTAACACTTACCGTACTTTGTGATAATCCACTACTTCCTCATAATTTTTGTGAAGCAAATAATCTTAACTTGAACAAAAATAGAAATATGAGCAAAAAATTCACACTATTTGCACATTTGTTGCAATATTTAGTATATTACTATATTTGTTAATTACTTGTATTTTGGCATTAAAACCTTCACTAATCCCAATTAAAATTAAATTAAACTTTAACACAAATCTCTAGCTCTTAATCTGAACAAAAGAAAATTACCAAAAAAAAAAAAAAAAAAGGTTCTCTTACTTAAGAAAAAAGGCTCAATGAGTTTAGTAGCGTTGGTATCAATATTAGTTGTTAGCTTGCAACTAAATTGGGTTAATGGGTCACCCAAAGTGCCTTGCTTCTTCATATTTGGAGACTCATTATCAGATAGTGGCAATAACAATAACCTTATAACAACGGCCAAGTGCAATTTTCCACCCTATGGAGTAGATTTTCCTAATGGCCCTACCGGAAGATTTACTAATGGAAGGACTACCGTTGATCTTATTGGTTCGTTTTATTTTGTCATATTTTTTTATATATTATTTCAAAATGATCGGGGCATATTAGATAAAAAAAATATCATATTATATCATTAACTTATCAATATATAAGTTTTTTTTTTTTTTTTTAAAAAAGGCCATATCAGATAAGACTAGAAAACTTGAATGACGATGAAATAAAGCTACATGCTTCATAATACATTATATTTTATCAACATTCAAGCATTATTATAAAATTCTAATCTATAGTTTACGTTCCAATTGATTTGCTTCAAAATTCATGAAAAACAAAACCATGAGCTTAATTCAATGTTGTTTTTCCGCAGTAGATGAAATAATACGATAAATGGCATGACTTGAAACACTCACTAGTTAATTGTTACATTGTACTTTAGTACATGTAAGACTCTACACTATTTAAGTATTTAACGGATACTCATCACAAAATTCATAATAAATATTATGAAGAATATAAGTTACATTAAACAAAGTACATATTTTGAACAAAAAAAAACACTAATGTTTAATGGTAATAAATTTAGACATTTTGATCCTTATTTGATCATTACTAATTATTGTAATGAAATTTATGTGTACAGGTGATCATCTTGGTTTACCGCACTAAATCAAACCCTTTGCAAGTATACCAGAGGATGAAATTATGGATGGTGTAAACTATGCATCTGGTTCTTCGGGTATTCTCGATGAAACGGGTTTTCAAGTGGTAATTTTCGGATAAAATCACAAACCATTACTTAACCTTAAATTACATTTTTCGTATTTGTTTGAATTTAATTACTATATATTGTTCGTGTTTATCATAGATTAATTTTTACTACGAGTATTTTTTACTTGTATATAACTAACTGATGACATGATGAATATGTTAGGGGGATCGAGTTTGTATGAATAAACAGGTGAATAATCACAAAAAAGTAGTATCAAAGATTACACATAAACTAGGCAATAAAAATGCTGCTATTCACCTCAACAAATGCCTATACTCCATTTATGTTGGGAGCAACGACTGGATGTTTAACTATTTTATGCGACCATCTGTTATGGCCACACACATGATTCCCGGTGCCTATGCTGATGAACTCATTAAAGAATTAACCGGTCAAATCAATGTAAGCTTTGCCTCTTATATATACGTGCTTAAACTTTTTCTGTACGAATTAAATTGTCACATTGACAGTGAAATAACATTAACAACAAAATTCAAACAAAGACACATTTTTGTTTTTCTTACATGGTTCTCATTTCTCAATTCACTTTTTTATTCATATTTTAATTATTTTGTTTGAAAAGCTCATTTTGAAATGAATTTTACAGTATCTCACAAGCTATTGTGTATTTCTATTGAGTATAAATACAAAATTTGATCAAAGTTTTCATAAATTTTTTATAAAAGGCGTTATATTTTTACTTGTAATTTTAATTTTGGCAGATGTTACTAATTTTCTTTTTTCTTTTTATGGGATGACCTCTTGAAGACTATTATTAGCCTGGGAGCAAGGAAGATCATATTATTTGGGCTCTCACCACTTGGTTGTCTTCCAATCCTAAATTTAGCTCAGACTTGTTCAGGATTCATCAATGGTGTCCTGAAGAATTATAATCACAAGTTGAAATCGCTAGTTTATAATTATAACAGCAAACATCCAGGAGTCAAATTTGTGTTCATAAACAGTATGGATATCATCTCCCCAAATAATCTTGAAAATCTTGGTAATTCCACATTTCATCAGTCATTTTCTTCTTTATACATAATTTCGCAAAACTTTTAACTATGTTCATCATATTTAGTTAAGTTGATACGAAAGCATGAGTCTAGCACTCTAACTAAATGCCTAACAAACGTAACAGTTAGACTACTAACAAAGGGCGAAATATAAACATTTAGACTGCACATCAAAGGTATATGCTACATTTCGCCAGTTGCTAGCTGCCTAAACTGTCTAAGGCTACGTTCTTGTTTACTTCAACTTATTACAAAGTATCTACAAACATAATTTCAAAAGTTGAACAGAACAACGCCTAACTAATTTATGATTTTGTTTGCAGTTAGAGTGGGGTTGAAAAATACAAATCAACCGTGTTGTGGAGTGGCAGCAGAATGTGTCCCATTTAGTCCACCATGTAAAGATCGAAAAGCGCGAGCATATTGGGATCAAGAACATCCTACCGAGGCTGCTAACAAGATTTTGGCTTCAAGAGACTACAAAGCCAAAATGTTCACGGACACTTATCCTATGGACATAAGCGCTTTAGCAGCTCTCCACTTCCACTAAAACCAGTGGATTCAACTACCAAATACAAAACCAAACAACTACGGAGTACAAAGAGCTAATATATGATGTGGTTGCGCTTGTCATTTTTGACAAGCACATGCTTCTCAAATAACTTCAATTTTTTTTTCTTCAAATTTAACCATTTAGGTGAGTCATGAAGAAAAATAAGAGCCATGGCACAATGGGTTAGTCCAATTAGTCCCATGACGCGATTCAAAGGTTTTAATTGCACAAACAATCTCCCATTTGTGAGTTAACAAACAATTGAAAATTTGTAATCACACATTTGCTAAATGTAATGGAAATACAGCAGCTTTGATCAATTTTTTGGATGCTATTGGCATTAATAGACTTGTTTTTTATTGACTGACTAATTTTGTATTATTTTTTATACCAATATTACATTACCCAAAAAATAATCCAAAATAAAGTTTCATCTATAATTCATCCTAAGAGACTTAGAAATGGCTCCATGACTAAAATAACCCTCAACATGAATGGCTTCCCTCTTTCTGATATTCGATTCGGGGGCGAAAGTATAGATAGGCAGGGGAATAAACAGAGGAATAGATCTTGAATAAACTGGTGATTTGAAGAGATGGGTGATATCTTGAAGAGGCCTTCTAGCAGATATTCTGCGGCATTTGAGACACTTGCTTTGAAATTGAAAAACTGTGTTTGTGACTTGCTTTGAAGAAGTGAAAGGTGGGATGTTCTCCCTGTTAGCCTGCATTGAGCTTACCATTTGACTTCTCTGAGGAATGGAGGAAGATGATTGAGACCAAAGCGACGAGACCTCGAAGGCCGGCTTTTCGAGCCGGTAGGATGATAATGTAACAAGCAATACAAGTTGGTTGAGAGAGATTTTAGGGGTGTTGAGTGAATGAAAAATGAGTTGAAGAAAAAGAGCTATATAGGAGAAAAAGGAGGGAAAATATCAAAGTTTTTTTTTTGGGTGTATTTTTATTCAAATTATTTTTGAGCTTTGAGTTTGGAGGGAGAAAAAAAAGTGAGAATCCAATGGTTAAAATTTCAAGATTTAAGTGTTTCTGAAATTTGGAATATTTTTTAGGAGTTGTACTAGTACTGCAGAAGTAAAGAAGAGAGAGATTTTAAATTTATGAGAAATGACCAATATTTTAAGGGGAGTTATTAATTTAAGATGCATAAGATTCCCAAAATTTGGGATTAGCAATAATTAACTTTATAATTTGTAAATGAGCGGCGCAGCTCAGGTGTAAAAATTGGAAGGCGCGCTTTGAGTTTTAAGGGTATAGCGCAAAGTACCCAAACTTGAAATTACACCTGAAAATTTGCTGCCAAAAAATTGCATCGCAAAAATTTTAATTTTTGTACTTGTATCAATTTTTATGTATTACTCGCGCGCATCCCGACACTACAATATGTAATTTGGTTATTGTTAATCGTGTGTGATAGATTATCTTGAATATTCGATATTTGATTTTTTCGGATCGGTTATCCATAATTTTTGGATCAGATACAGATCGGTTTTCGGGATTTAAGATAATTTTGCTCAACCCTAATTTAGGGGATTAATCGGTGCAATTGTATATGAATTGAGCATAAAAACGTTTTTGATACATGTTTATTACAAATTAATTTATAAGTTTATAATAATTATAAGTTATATTCACTAAATCGTTATCTTCAAGTTTGTTTTTTAATTAACATAAGTAAGTTGTTATTAGGATCGTTTCTGAGATTACAGAGGCCCATGGGCAAACTAATATATTGGAGCCCCAAATTTAATTCTTAGGTTTTGTAATATAGGAAACAATTCTTTTTATTATATGGACAAATAATTTGATTATAGCTTCTTTGAAATTTTTTTACAAAAAATCAACTTGCATACAATATAAAATTAATAAATATATTGTATGATAGCATGTAACATTAGTAAACAAATACTACTTTGTATTTAGGGACTATTTGGTTTGCACGGGATAATTGGAATGGAATGAACAAATTAAAGGGAAAGAAAAGGAATTCAATAAAAAATAAAAACCCTAAATTTGTTGTGTTGTTTGTTTTGAATAACAAAGGGAAACAAGCTACCACTTCCACCACCACACCACCACAACACAAGACCTATTATATACCAACTACGGCCACCATACCACTAACCGCCCCTTCCCCACCACACATCGCCCCTCTTTCGCCATTCCCCGCTCGTCGCCGCAGCTCCCCCATCCCACGCCGGAGACCCCTTCCCCCGAAAAACTCCCCCACTCGCGTAAAAACCCTGAAAACTCACCCTCCCCTTCCCCGAAAAACTCCCCCAGCTTGGGTTTCGAGGGAGGGAGGAGATCGATCGGCTGTTTTACGGGGAAGGGGAGGGTGAGTTTTTAGGGTTTTTGCACGAGTGGGGGAGTTTTTCGGGGAAGGGGTTCTCCGGCGTGGGACAGGGGAACTCTGGCGATGGACGGGGGAGCTCCGGCGAGGGACGGTGGAGGTGCGACGATGGTGGCTGGGTGGTGGGGATATGGTAGGATGGTGGTGGCTGGTTTGGATCGGATGTGGTGGTGTTGTGGTGGCTAAGGAAAGGGAATGGAAAAACCTAGGGGATGGGGAATGGAGTTGGAAGGATTTGGGGTAATGGAGAGGGTAAAGGAAATTGGAAGAAATGCCAAACAAACAACAACAAAGGGAATCAGGACAGTTGATTCTCATTCCCTTTGATGAATACCCCAACCGAACGACCTCTAAATATATAACTTTTTTTAAAATACCTATAAAGGACAACAACAATAACTCTATGTAGTCATTGTACCAAAACAAACAATATTATGATCAATTATCTCCAGCAAATGAAATTGATCACTAATTTACTCATAATCTATGGCATCATTTTTACTATTATAGTATAAATTTGGGAAGCAACTATATTACGTAAAAACTGAAAATTGGAAAATGATTATGGTTCATTAAGGATGATTAAGTTATTTTATAATATGAATTGAATTACATATTGAATTATGAATTAAGATTTATTTCAATTGGATAAAAGTTCAAATAGCTAGCTAGATAGTATGATTTTTTTTTTTTTAATAGATGTATCTAATTTCAATGGGCTTTTTTGTAGGTTGGGATTTTAATTAAATAATGGAGGGAAAGCATGAACTTCATATCTTTTACATATTATATTGAAAAAAATATATATTAACAAAAATCCTATTATAAGATACTGATCAAAAACCTGTCAAAAAAAAAAATTGTTGAAGAAAAATAATTTAAGAAAAGCATTTTATGGGGTTCGAACCCAGATTCCCTCCAACTAAGGAGGTAAAAATTATCAAATGTAACAAACCACCTAGACTCACGCACTACTGTAGAACAAATACTTCCACATTTTCATAACCACTACGTAAGTGGCCTAAAGTACTAACAAAAATGGGGCCTTCTGTCCATGGGCCCTAGCCCTGGGTCAATACAGGCCTGATTGTACTATTTTATGAAAGAGGTTTTAGGATTCTGAGTACTAGAGTAAGTTGAATTTAAATCTCGTTAGTTAATTAAACATGTATCTCTACAAGTATTAAGTAGATTACGACCACTCACTCGTCTTCTACAAAAGTGTCTTATTAGTTTCGAATAGTAGAGTAAAATGGAAATGAGTGGAAAAAAAAGAATAATTTGAAAAAGGCGGTAATGGCAAGTGGTAAGGGAACAAGTTGCACCTTTTCATTTCTTTATTGTCTTAAAGTGTCCCTCTCTCTTTTACTTTTTCTTTCCCCCTACCTTGTCTTAATTGTTCTTAGTCTATGGATTTGAAAGTTATTGGTCGACTTGCTCCTCTCTCACTCATTCCTTCCTTTATTGGCCCAAACTCTTTCTTCTCACTCTCTTTCTTTCCTAATCTTTCTTGTCCATGTTCTATCCTCTAAGAGGCTGTGGAAAATATTAGGTTGTACTTGCTCCCTTTCCCCTTAGCCCCACTCCCCCTGGCCCTTATATCTCACCCGACTTCTCTTTATACCCCTCACTCTTTCAGCCTCCTCCTCTCTCTCTTTATCAATTTAGGTATCTCTTTCTCGGTCCCTCTCTTTCATTATCACTCTATCTCTTTCTCTCTTAGCTTTATCGCTTTATTTTTCTCAGCTCTCTTCTAACCCCTGTTTCTTTCTCTTTCTCTCTCTCTCTCTATTCTTTTCCAGCTCTTCATTTTTCTCTCTTTCGCCCCCCCCCCAATTTTGTACACCTAAATTTATAGGTGCATTCTTGTGGATTGTTCAGGTAAGATTTTTCAAATTGTATGATTGTTCAGTATATGTGACTTGGATTCATTTAAATGGCAGAAATATCTCGGGTGCAATTGTATATGCATTAAATTTGTGCTAGCCGATTAAGTTGTTTAAAAAAAATGATTAATGATATTGAATTTTTACTACATAAAATTGCTTGCTATTAAGTGACTATCTTGCTCCTTCCCTCCCTCCTTTCCTATCTTATGATGTTTCCAAATTCATAAAAGTTAATCTTTACTTCCATTCCCCCCATTCTAGCTTACTTATTTTCCTCTCTATTTCCTTCTTTCATTACATATTAACATTTAGGTTTTTCAAATTTTAGAATCTTTTTCAAAAAGTATTGTTTTCCTTTTCAAATTATATTTTATTTTAGCGAAAAGTATTGTGTGTATATGCTTTATTAGATTCAAATAGAAAAATGTACTTGCGGGTAACATATCTAAAGTGTATACATAACTTGGCAGGTGATACATTTTTCCTTGTCCTCTTTATTTTTCTTCATCTCTTTCCTTTTCTCTTGCATTTGTGAGTTTTTCTTCTTATCCTAATTACCCTTACTCGTATCCGTTTTCTTTAGTAGCCTCTTTTAAAGTAGCTTCTTATAATTTCGAGGATTTTTAGATATTATTGTCGTCTTTCGCAATCGCTATATATAATAACAACATTGCATTTCTTAAGCAAGTAATTGAAATCGTAATTCTAATTGAGGCTAATAGGGCTAATTAAGTACACTACATTTAAAGATTGGAGCTAAAGAGATGAAATGATTAATAATGTGTTTAATGATATTGAAAGTTATCGAGATTTGAGCTTTTTTTTTTTTTTTTGACAATTGAGTCGATGCTACTATAGTCATGTGATCTTCCTTTTCAAATAGTATCTATAAAGGTGCATACAGGATTACAGGTTAAAGAAATCCCCCTCCTTTCTTTATTCCCCTAAACATTCTATTTTTCTCAATCCCCATCTCTTTATTCCTTTTCTCCTTCTTCCTCCTTTTAATAGCTTCATAACTTACAAGTCTCTCTCTTTCTCCCCCCCTCTCTCGTTAACATTCTTTACCGAGTTAATGAACCGATGCTCCAGTCCTTACCTTAAATTACATACATGGCCTAAAAGTTTTTCCTATTCATGGGGTTTTCTGGTGCTCCTTACTCTTACCCTGAATCTTCATTTTGTAATTCTGCATTTTTTTAACATCTACTGTCATTCTCTTACAGAGTTTTGTACCAATTTGTCTTCTTAACTCTGTACTTCCATCATCTCCTTTTTTGCCCCTTATCCCTCTTTCTAGATGTCTTTTCCCACTGCTACCTCTTTGCTAACTCATTCTATCACTCTCCTTCCATAGTTCCATGGTTCCATTTACTTCACAGATAAATGAAAGACGTATCTTTATTGTGAAACAAATATTATATTAATGACAAACTCGAGATTATGAAATCGATTGGTACAATATTCCACCTTAGAAGAAATTTTAAAGTTACTATCTTGATAAATAACGTGGTGATAAATGTTGACTGTCAAATTGAATATGGTGTAATATTTGTAAAATTTCCTTAAAAGACAAGTGGTGTAATATTTGAAATAAATATTTTATAATAATAAGTATAATTTCAGCAATTTATAATCATCAAAATTCCCCCAAAAAAAGTACTGTAATAAATACACGAAACACTTAACAGAACAATATTGTCAAGCATCCTATTGACCTCAGAAACTCAGCTGATTTTTGCATTTGTTCCAGCTCTAATAAGCAAGATAAAATATGTTTTCTTGCCAACTCAAAGCCTTTGCCCTGGGGTTCCTTCAAGCACATAAGAAGGTGGTAGTAATGCTGCAACACACAATGAAAAATGAAGTCTCATTACACTATAGGTTAGATTAATTAATGCAGTCATCAAATTGAACAAAATTTTGAGGCAAAATCTTATTACATGCCAAAAAATTCTTAACCAAAAGCTTTACCTTCCTGAAAATTGCAATTTAGTCACTATGTTAGTGAATTTGTATCGGGTATTACACTCAAAACAAATTTTACACATGCATTAGCACACATCAACAGAAATAGAGGCATGGATTCCGAAGAATATTGCAGAGCTTGATGTCTTCCGTAAATAAATAGACATGAAGGATCAAAGGTCATCAATAAGAATGATTGTCCTCTCAATATATGCAGAGTAGGCAAATGACGGAAAACATCCAGGGCCATTGTATTATATTGTAAACAAGCTTAAGTGGCAAAGCAAAAAAAAAAAAAAAAAAAAAAAAAAAAAACAAAAAATAATCCAAAATAGCACAACACTCAAGTCTCTATTGTCACATTTCTCCTGATGGTCTGATGTAAGAACTACTGTACTGATCCTTAAAAACTACTGTACATAATAATAATACTGATCTGTATCGGATATTGTTACACCTGACTTATGATACAAATAAAAATGACCATCATTAAATGATTGTCTTTGTAGGAAATGATCAAAGAATATGGTCAAGAAGTATTTATTTTTGCTGAAGCAACAAATGGGTTTGGACCCAAAGAGGAGAAAGCCTTGGCAACATTAGCAGAATGGTCGAAAGACGGGTTTGATAAGGTTATGGTAGAACACAAGTTAGATGCAATTATAACCCCTGGTTCGTCGTTTTCAACTGTTCTTGCCATTGGAGGATACCCAGGAATTAGCGTTCCTGCAGGATATGATAAAGATGGTGTGCCATTTGGTATATGTTTTGGAGGTTTAAAGGGTACAGAACCTAAGCTTATTGAGATAGCCTATGGTTTTGAACAAGCTACACAAATTAGAAAGCCTCCTACACTTTGATGGATCCTAAATTTGTCTTTATTAATGTCTATATACAATTTGGTTTCCATACTAAAGCTTAATTCAAAGGTATTTTCCCAACAAACTTTATTTTTTGACTTATTATCATGTCTACCAAACAAGTACTAAAATGTGCAAACTTCTTCAGCAAAGCTACTCTGAACAGTCTCAAGGAAACAGTACGGATACAACATTGCCTTCCGGACTGACCCGAGTCTCTAATAGACTAATACTTCTTGATTGATAATGTAACCAATCGAAAGATAAAGTAAATCATTCAAACATGAACATGACTCGTTTATCCGAATTTAAAATTCTACTCTCTGCTCCTCCCCTGCCTTTTTTAGATTATTCCCTTACAGAAATATAAGCTCAAAGCCTCAAACTCCATGTTACATAAAAATAAAATAAAAAATGAAGACCCCAAAAAAAGTAAACCCCACTAAATAATGTCCACAACTTTGTCTAAAGCAGAAACTTCAGTCACTTTCAGATCCATGGACTAATATCCCCTGCCTATAGTAACTCAACTCAATCACTAATATATCTGCTTCTCATCATACTCACCTTTAGAGCAGATTTATACTAGTTCTAAGCTAGCAATCTTACTTAAATTAGCTATGTCAACTTCATATTCACTAATTCATTTCCTGCTAATTATTCTCAGCCTAACATCAGCCGCCTCTCTAAATACAAACTTTCCAATCAAAGAGGCTACCATAAAAGATCTCCAAACCGCTTTCCTCCAAAACAAACTTACCTCAAGAGAATTAATCCAGTTCTACCTGCGCCGAATCCAAAAGCTCAATCCAATCCTCAGAGCAGTCATAGAGGTGAACCCGGATGCTCTAGAGCAGGCGGATGAGGCTGACAACCGGAGAACAAAAGCAAAGAAGTGTCAGTCAGGGCTAGATGGGATACCAATATTGTTAAAAGACAATATTGCTACAAAAGATAAGCTGAATACAACTGCAGGATCATATGCATTGTTGGGCTCGGTTGTTCCTAGAGATGCTGGAGTTGTCAAGAGGCTAAGGCAGGCTGGTGCTATTATTCTTGGGAAGGCTAGCTTGAGTGAGTGGGCTAATTTTAGATCTAGTAGTGCGCCGAGTGGCTGGTGTGCTAGAGGCGGCCAAGGCCAGGTAAGTACCTTTCTTTTTAATTTATGATATGCAGCTTTTATATGACAGTTTCTTTTGTGAATTTTATGCACATGTATCAGAAGACTATATAAATACAAAGAAAAAACAAATGCATATGTGATGAATGACTATGAATATATGTGTCGTACTGTTAAGGAAAAAGCATATTTTATCTGCAGAACCCTTACAATCTCTCAACAGATCCTTGTGGCTCCAGTAGTGGATCAGCCATAGCAGTAGCAGCAAACTTGGCAGCAGTTAGTCTTGGGACCGAAACAGATGGTTCCATCCTTTGTCCTTCCAGCAAAAATTCAGTCGTGGGAATCAAACCCACCCTCGGTCTCACTAGCCGTGGAGGAGTTATACCAATCACTCCTACACAAGACACTGTAGGGTATGTAGCCACATGAGTCCTTTTTTTTCAAAGATTCTCAATTTTAAGAACAAAATTTAAGTTTTCAAGTAGACTTCTTATGTTAAGCTTGTGAAATTGAACCATGAACAGACCCATCTGTAGGACTGTAGCAGATGCAGCTTATGTTCTGGAATCCATTGTAGGGTATGATCCTTATGATTCTGAAGCGACAAAGAATGCAAGAAAATACATACCCCAAGGTGGCTATGCTCAGTTTCTAAAGCTTGATGGTCTAAAAGGGAAGAGGTTAGGAATTGTGAGGAATCCCTTTTTTAATCTTATCAAAGAGTTTCCTATACTAAACACAACCTATATGCAGCATTTTCATACTCTAAGGTAAGCAAGAAACTGAACCTGCTATTTGTTTGACTGACTAATGTAAAGTAGCATTACACCGATTAATACACACTTGTCATGCTTTTCTAATTATTCATTGACGAGATGATTACAGAAAACAAGGAGCAATATTAGTCGATAATCTGGAAATACCCAACATTGAAGCAATTATGACATCAAACAATATGGATATGGTGATGTCTTCTGAGTTCAAGTTAGCTCTGAATTCCTATTTAAAGCATCTGATCAAGTCTCCAGTTCGATCTTTGGCCGATGTAATAGAATTCAACAACAAACATACCCAAAAGGTGAAAATTAGCTAGTAGCCTACTATTCTACTAGTACTTTAGTCACGCCTCATTCTTTTCACCTGAAAATCGTTTACCTGAACTGATCAAAGAATGACCAACATATCATTTGGTAAATGTGTAGGAAAAGATCAAAGAATACGGTCAAGATACATTCCTTGATTCTGAAGCAACAAACGGAATTACACCCAAAGTGAAGAAAGCCCTGGCAACGTTAGCAGAATGGTCAAAAGACGGGTTTGAGAAGGTTATGGTAGAACACAAGTTAGATACAATTGTTACACCTGATTCAGTGTTTTCAACTGTTCTTGCTATTGGAGGATACCCAGGAATTAGTGTTCCTGCTGGATATGATCAAGATGGTGTGCCATTTGGCATATGCTTTGGAGGCTTAAGGGGTTCGGAACCTAAGCTCATTGAGATAGCCTATGGTTTTGAGCAAGCTACAAAATTTAGAAAGCCTCCTACCTAAACTTTAAAGCTATGTTTTTTACTCCCTCTGTCCCTTTATTTTTGCCCCATTTGACTTTATGCAATCTCTAAGACATGTGTTAAAACGTTTATATCTCAGTTTTCCACATGACTATATTTCCTTTGGTAGAACAACGAGAATTTATGGTTAAAATTATCAAAATTTGACCCACATTTTTACAATGAGACAAACAAATAGGGTAAGAGGGAGTAACAGCTTGGTTATTTGTACTATTAATAAATTTTAGTAAAGGTAATACTAAACTTTTAAAGATACATGTTAATGTGTGATAACAGTAAAACCTTATCTCTAAACATGTGATTTTTGTTGTATATCAGTGTGATTTTCAATTATCACATTGTCCATTTGTCTCAACTTCTCGTAATCAAGAACTAACACTCATTTTTTTTTTAATTAAAATACGAGAAAATACAAGTTAATCTTTATGATTAACTTGTATTTTATATTTGAGAGTAAGGTATAGCTCGAGTGGTTAGAGCTCCCTTCCGCTTTCAGGGGATCCTGAGATCGATTTTCATCTCCGCCCTTGTGGCTCTCTAAACACCAAAAAAACTTGTATTTTATACCTAGGGTTAAAAAGGATATTTTCGAATCATTAAAAGGGGTAGCAAAGTAATTACACCATTGATGACCTGTATTTTCTCACACATAGGACAATTGAAGTGGTAGCAATACTGTATAGTATATCTAGGGGTGTACAAAAACTGGACCGGACCTGAACCGACTTGATCCGGACCGGACCTGACCCGGACCCGTTGATTCAGGTCCGGTCCTGGTCCTTGAAAATCAAGGTTTTCGGTCCCGGACCTGAAACCCCTTTTTTTTTTTTTTTTAAACATATAAATACCCTAACCCTAAATCCCTAATACTATCAGCCTCTCATTTCTCCCCTTCGTTCTCTCCTTCTTCCTCCTCTCCTCTCAGTCTCTTTCTTCCATGTCTCCCTGTTCTTCTCTTCCGTTATTTGGCTTCCGACACCACATCGGATCCCTCACTGGTTTCGACACCGAAACGCGCCTCTCATTTCTCGCCTTCTCTTCTTCTTCCTCTCCTCTCAGCCTTTCTCTTCCGTGTCCCCCTGTTCTCACGTCCGTCGTCTGGTTTCCGACACCACACCGGATCCCTCACCGATTTTTGACACCGAAACGCACGACCTCCGTTGCTCCAGAACCCAGGCTACATTTACTTTTTTTTTCGATTTAATTTCAGTTGACATGAGCAAAGGAGGAAGAATTTCCGGCGACCACCACCGACACCGCAAAAGCCGACCGTCCACCACCACCAACGTAGCCTCCGTGGTGTTCATTTACCCTTTTTAGAATTAATTTCATTTATTAAATTATAAACCCTAGGTACTTGATTTATGTTTGATTTATTGTTATTTTCGCTGAGTTTAAATTGTAGATCTAATCTTTTTCTTTTTTTCAATATTTCTGATTATAATTAGTTTTTGATATAATTGTAATATTAATTTATATTTTTTAGATGATTTCGTATTTTTAAATAAATTTAATTTATGCTATGAGCCTATGATTGGCTTGATATAATTTCGAATTTTAATTTATAATTATATTTTGATATAATTGTAAATTTGTAATGCTAATTTATATTGTTATAATGTTACTTTCGCTGACTTTCAAATGTAGAAACTTTGGCTTGAATAAAGAAAAAAAAAATGGGAAAAAATACAAAACATGTCTGTTCAAGTCCAAACGCGGATTGAACCTGATTTTTCAGGTCTGACCCGACACCGAACTTGTTGAATCAGGTTCGGTCTCCGGTTCTCAAAATTCACTAATTCAGGTCCCCAGTCCAAACAGGTCTGGTCCGATTTTGGACCGGTGTACACCCCTAAGTATATCACACGGTGTTGAGGTGAAGTTAACGGCATAAGTGAAGCATGCAACATCCACCCAAAGTACATGACGCTACGACCATAACCACCACCAAAGTGACGCCCCTGTTTCTAGCACCACTAGAAAGAAGGCGAGCAACCATAACACCGTTTTTGCCGGCAACAGCCTCATAAACCAACCCGAATGTCGAACTAATTTCGGCCAAATTCACCAATTTTGAGCAATTTTTGTTCAAATTAATGCATAAATTCAAGTTCTGGGTTATTAATTACATTCTAGTAAGTCATCTCTACCCTTTGGGGTTGACCATGCCCTTAATTTCACCTTTTATTCATAGGGTTTTTGTTTAATGGAGAAATTGGTGTCGGCGCAGCATACAATTGGTGAGTTTTTTTTTTTTTTTTTTAGAGGAAGCATACAATTGGTGAGTTGAGTACACAAACGGCGCTAGTGGAGCTAACAAGCATTATACAACAGTTGTAATCTGACTCATTGAATGCTAAATAAAAAATATGAGCTGGAAAAATAGATTGACGAAAATCATAAAGATTAACCGGGCTTGCTCAATAAATTTTTTATTTATTTTATTTTATGTGGCATAGGAGGAGAGCTGATACATATACAACCATTGTATGTTGTCCCTAAATACAACACCATTAAAAATTGTAAAAATTGTATGTAGTCATCATTGTATGTGTAGCCTTTACCGCATAAGAGGGACTGAGAGAGAAAAAATAAATCAATCAATAACTAAAATTTTTCTCCTAGCACCAACTTAATTATTCCACAAGGAAAAGAAATAAAAGAAAAGAGTTATCTTACCAGAGTAACCAGACCAAAGTCCAAGTATAATAAAAAACTTTCAAGTCACATTCTTCTGTTAGTATCTAACTATATATCTATCCTCAACTAATCTCTTAAATTAAACTTTTAATCAAAGTTGATTAGATCATTAATCTCTCTTCTCAATTCAACATCTACTCTGAAGTCTTCAGATCTTCATCTTAAGCTAATACGAAGCATTATCCATGACAAACATATGCTCATCAAATTCTACAGTATCATTAGACAGTAATGATCTCCAAGCCAATTTCCCAATTAAAGAAGCTACCATTAAAGATCTCCATACAGCTTTCCACCAAAACAAGCTTACCTCAAAAGAACTAGTACAATTCTACCTATATCAGATTGAAAAACTCAACCCAGTTCTCAGAGCAGTCCTAGAGGTCAACCCGGATGCTCTGGAGCAGGCAGAGGAGGCCGATAAACGGAGGGCGAAAGCAAAGGAGTCAGGATCAGTGGAATCTCTAAGGCTAGATGGGATACCAATATTGGTAAAGGACAATATTGCTACAAAAGATAGGATGAATACGACTGCAGGATCATTTGCATTGTTAGGTTCAGTTGTTCCAAGGGATGCTGGGGTTGTGGAGAAGCTAAGGCAGGCTGGTGCTATCATACTTGGAAAGGCTAGCCTAAGTGAGTGGGCTCATTTCAGGTCTTTTGGTGCGCCGAGTGGGTGGTGTGCTAGAGGCGGCCAAGGCCAGGTAATTTCTTGTCCCGGAATATAATCCACCTGTATATTATAAAACATAAATTCATTGATCATCTTTGGAATAGAAAGCGAGTTTATTTGTGATTTGTGTGGTATAACAAAGACTTGTATTATATAACAATGATTACTTGTGGTAGTGCATACTTAAGTTGAAGAAAGCGGTAGCTTTAGGTGCTTGTGGCTGTTGAAATAAGCAACATTTTATCGATCTCTGAGATCAACCTCAGCTCTTGAAATAGAACAAGTATGTTTCATGTTTTAGTATGTAAAGGTAGAACTAAAACTATAAACCACTGATATTTGATAAGAAACAATGTATTTATAGGTTGTATTTGTATAGCACAAATTTCGCAATATTATTAAGAAACAGAACATACCCTATCTTAATTTGCAGAACCCTTACCATCTATCAGCAAATCCTAGTGGCTCAAGTAGTGGATCGGCTATAGCAGTAGCTGCAAACTTGGTGGCCGTTACTCTAGGAACCGAGACAAATGGATCCATCCTTAATCCTTCTAGGACCAATTCAGTCGTGGGCATCAAGCCAACTCTCGGTCTCACTAGCCGTGGTGGGGTCATACCAATCACTCCTACACAAGACACTGTTGGGTATAATCATTCCAGATTTTCTTATTCCTTTCTAGTATCCCAGGTTTGGATTAATATGAAGGTTTTAATTTGTATTGACATTTTATATTATCCTTGTGTAATTGAACTATGAACAGCCCAATCTGTAGGACTGTAGCAGATGCAACATATGTTCTGGATTCCATTGTAGGCTATGATCCTTATGATTCTGAAGCGACAACGAATGCAAGTAGATACATACCGCCAGATGGGTATGTTCAGTTCCTAAAGCTCGACGGTCTAGAAGGGAAAAGGTTAGGAATTGTAAGAAAGCCTTTCTTTGATCATATTGAATGGTCTTCTAAACAGGCCACAACTTTTAAACAGCACTTCCATACTTTAAGGTAAGCAAAAAGGCAGAGCCAATTTTTTGCTTGAGTGACTAGTGTTATTGCACAACATTTACTAATACTCATTGATCATGCTTATTTGTAATTGAGATAACTACAGGGAAAAGGGGGCAATACTAGTTGATAATTTGGAAATACCCAACATTGATGCAATCATGTCATCAAACAATGAGCGAATGGTGATGGAATTTGAGTTCAAATTAGCTCTGAATTCTTACTTAGAACAGCTGGTGAAGACTCCTGTACGATCTTTGGCTGAAGTTATAGAGTTTAACAACAAAAATGCCCAAGAGGTGATGATTACTGATTAGCTGCTAGTATTTAGACACACTTTTTACCTATTATACCAAGTAAAATGACCGTTAATTGGCTGAATTTGTAGGAAATGATTGAAGAATATGGTCAACAAATATTTCTTTCTGCTGAAGCAACAAATGGGATTGGACCTGAAGAGAAGAGATTGTTGGCAACATTAGAAGAATGGTCAAGAGACGGGTTTGAGAAGGTCATGGTAGAAAACAAGTTAGACGCAATCATAACACCAAACTCGTCGTTGTCAACTGTTCTTGCCATTGGAGGATACCCAGGAATTAGTGTTCCTGCTGGATATGGTGACAATGGTGTGCCATTTGGAATATGTTTCGGTGGCCTAAAGGGTACGGAACCTAAACTAATCGAGATATCTTATGCTTTTGAGCAAGCTACAAAAATTAGGAAGCCCCCTTCTCTGTGATTAGTCCTAAAATTGTATGTTTAAAATTGATTTCTGTAGTAATAATGTCATATAATGGTGTTGAATTTGGTGATGTTCAAACAATTCTATCTAAAAGAAATGTTGACTTTGTATCAACTTGTAGATCATTTTCCTCAAAATTATTCATGGAAACTTATGGTTGATGATTACAGACTGAGAAATTTTGTTTCATTTTATCCAAAAACTTAATGAAAGTAGACTACATTCATCAAACTCATCTATCATCCTCAATTACATTCCTCATGGATGTTGTTCGTCAATCCTCATATATCTTTGCGCAAATCAAAATAAGTTGGACAAACCTTAACTCAGGATCAACCTAAAAGCAGCCTCGTTCTCCATCTTTACTTATTCCCAAGTTCAATACATAAAAAACAGGCAAATGCAAGTCAGTTATATACGGAGTAATTACAAATACTACATAATTCTTTAAAAGCATGGGAAAAGGGTGTATTAGAAGTCTTGCCTCGGCCAAAGAAGATTAACAAGGACAATTACGGATCACAAGTTAAAATTTTGGCAATCAAACTAGTAGATTACAATAAAGATGAACAGTCTTAAAATATAATTCAACTAGTTCATAATATGAAATGGATTATCAAACAAATTTAGAGATCATAAGTGTAATAATCAAAAATCATTTAAAGCAGATTATGAACTGAAATATCAGAAATAAAAATCAAAGAATTCATGTCACACTAGACAATGAATTTAATTAATCGTAATACGGAGTATGTAATCTGCAAATGTTAGTACTGAATAGCAAAATTCCAATTCCAATTATACTAAATAACACTGACAATTGCTTTCCAAAAAAAAAAAATAACACTGACAATTAGATCAACGAAAAATTGGTAAAAATAATCTCAACTTTTACCCTTTTGCTCAAAATAATCCCAATTTTGGATTATTTTTAAATAATCCAAAAATTTGAGGGTTATTTGGTTTAAACGGTCCCAAGTGACTGGTAACCTGGTAAAGAGTAATTTTTTTTTTAGTTTAAGTGACACGTATGACCATATGGTTGGTTGATTATTTTTTTTAAAAAAAACCACTTGAAAACCACCACCACCAACCTGGATTCCGGCAGCCCTTTCCCACCGCCCAGCCAGGTACCCCCTGCCCCTAACCCGCGCCAGGCCTTCCCTCCCCGGCGTCGGCGCTTCCCCCTCCCCCATCGCAAAACCTCATTAAAAAAAAACCCAAAACCCTTAACATAACCTAGCCCCACCGCAAAAACCCCCCAATTAGCCCTCCCCCACCCGAGCCGATTGGGGGGTTTTTGCGGTGGGGCTGGGTTATTTTAAGGGTTTTTTTTTTTGCAGTGGAGGTTAGGTGATTTAGGGGGGAAGGAGGAAGGAAGTGGCGGCGCTGTGAGGAAGGGAAGGTCTGGAAGTCGGCGCCGGCGTGAGGAGGGTTGGCGGCGATGGTTGGGGGCTCCGGAAGCAACCGGTGGGGGTGGTGGTAAGGAGGTTGTCGTGGTGGGCTGTTTTTACTTTTAATTTTTTTGTTTTTTTATTTAAAATCTTCAACCAATCATGTGGTACCACGTGTCCCCTTAACCTAATATACTAGGTTGGGTGACCGGTTGGGATCGTTTAAAGCAAATAACCCCCAAAGTTCGGATTGTTTAAAAAAATCCAAAATTGGGATTATTTTGAGCGAACGGGCAAAAGTTGAGATTATTTTTACCAATTTTTCCTTAGATTAATTAGCTAAATTCTATATAATCCGCAAAGTTCATCAAAATTTATTACTCTTATTAAAATAAACATCGTAATCTATACTAACTGCAGAATAAATTATACTGAGAATTGACTGAAAAATACCATAATTCAAAATTGTGTTATAGAATGCAGATGATTTTGTGAGGATCAAATTCTCTGATCAAATTCTCTTGAGTTTGGGCATTTGTTTTGACAATCAATGGGTTAAACTTAGTTTTGAACTGTGATGGGGCTGCCAAGGGGTGTCTGGGCCTGGCTAGTGGTGGAGGCATCATCAGAGACTATGCGGGGAACCTCGTTTCAGCCTTTGCCGCAACTTTTGGGTACAACACAACCTTTTGAGCTGAAGTGTTGGCTTTTGTGAGAGGACTGGAGATAGCGAAGAATTTGCAAATCAATAAGCTCGAAGTCCAACTAGATAATTTGGCCTGTGTGCAAGCCTTGCAAACCCAGAAGGTGGCCTATGGTGAGAATATTCATGAAATACAGCAATGCCTCAAGTTACTCAATGACGATCGACGACAAGTAAAAGTCGCACATATTTTCAAAGAAGGCAATAGTGCGGCGGATTGGTTGGCCAACCGCGGAGTTGTTCAGGACTCTCAATTAGTTTTCTTCAATAATAATGCTCCGGCGAAGCTTAGTCGTATTTTAGAGGAGGATATTCGAGGTGTGGCTTTGCCACATCTTATCCCTCCATAGGTAGCTTGTTTTATTAGTTCCGTGTGCTTGTAGTTGATTTTTCCTAGTTTTTTTTTTCTTTCCTTTGGATGTATGCATCTTCATTTGGATTAAAAAAAAAAAACCTTAGGTGATCCTTTATATCACCCCGGTTCAACATATTTTCATTTCTTAATATTTTAAATTTAAAAATACATATTACAGACTCTTTTTTTTTTTTTTTTTTTACAACGGTCCAAAAAGGAGACTAGCTCCCAACTGACTCAAGACTACAAATCGAGTATTTGCCTCTCTTAACCAAACTAATACAAGAACTAAAGTGGGGATTGGGGGTAAAATCAATCTGAGCTGCTTGATAATGCAAATAAGGGGATTGAGGAGATCTATCGTCGGTATTAGCCATAGGATGTTCCAAACTTGTTCCCTTGTATTTCTTGATCCTGCAAAAACAAAACCTAGAATACTTTTTACCTTTCTTGTTCTTCACCCTTGACCTAATTGGTCTTCCATACTTCCTCGACGTGGCAGAGAACGTGAAGGTAGAGAATGGACATGAATGCACCTGTTCAAGTTCAAAAATCATGGAGTCTTCATAATTAGAACCTACGGATTCCACTTCAACAATATCGGTGGTAGTTAAATCTGTCGCAGGAACCTCACACTAGTAGAAAAAACCAAATTGGAAGCCAATAATTGGAAGCGGTTTATCAAATCCGCTTCCAATTCCTTACAAATACCCGCCCAAATTTTAAAAAAAAGGGAAGAATTGGAAGCTGTTTAGGTTGAACCGCTTCGAAAAACCAATTTGAAGCGATTCAAACCGCTTCCCTTTTTCAAAAAAAAAAAAAAACCCGGCATTACCTCCATTTTTCCCCTCTATTTCAACGTATTCCTTGCTCTGAATTCCCCTCCATTTCTTCGCTTCCACCATTGCTTCCCTTCAACTTCCACTCTCACACACCTACACTCCACCATAACCACCATATATAACCACCGTCACTTAAACCCACCACAACAACTAGCAACAACCTGCCAAAAGTCGCTGCACCCACCACCATTGGCGTTGTTTTAGGTCATTGTTGGACTCCACACCCTGCACTGTCGCCGCCTCCACCCGCCGCGACAACCACCACCACAGCAAGCATTTCCTTTGTGGACGCTTTGCTGCTGCTGTTGCTTATTGACGCTGGTAGCCACCACACTCGGCCTCACCACGACCCTTGCTGCTGCGACGTTGCTTGAGGACCACCACCACCACAGGCATTCCTTCTCTTTGTCCCTCACAAATTAGGGTGAGTTCATGCTTACTTAATCTTACTACCTTATTTACATGTTCTTAACAATTTCCCAAATTTTAGGGTTTCAATATTAGTTAATCATATTTTATGTTAATTATTTTAATAATTATTCGTATACAAAATGTTAATTCTTACCTTAATTGTATAATGTTATAAGTTGTTTGAATTTGAGTAGCTAAAAAGTGATGAATTATTGAATATGGATTGTAAGTGAGCTTAGTTTGCTTGTAGGTAGTCCAATTAGCATTGTATGAATGAATTAACTTGTGTTTTGTTAAATGTCAAACAAATGGAAAATTTTGAATGCTTGCATCATCATTTGCCTAGATACCCGTTCAAGTCTTTCTCATTAGGAGGAAGACTTGAATAGTCCCCGGTTGGGACTGTTCTTGGACGTTTAATCTCACTTAGGTAGTGAATGTATGTCTCTTTTTCGATTTTAAGGAATGTCTCGGCCTAGCATTTCGTCTCCATGTTCTCCGGGTGCATATGTAGGTAATTATTTACCTACATTGTGTACTTGGAGAACTGGGGCGAAATGCTGCCGGATTTTCCTTAAAATTGGAAAGTTGACATACATTCACTAGTGAGATTAGACGTTCAAGGATGGGTTAGGTTGGAGTGATAAGTACCTTTATGGGAGCAATCATTTTTACACTATATGCATTAACGATATAAATACAAACAATGTACTTTGATTATATGTTGCAATTTTACATTATTTAAAATGTGTTGGTTTGTGCGTAAAGGCAATTGAAAACGTTGATGGATCGCGGTTGGATGTATGGTAGACGTGATACGTTGGATTTCTTTAATGGGGTCCAAGAGTTTTGCGAGAGTGCTTCACAATATCAGATCAAAACGGGTGTGAATGACCTTTATTGTCCTTGTGTCAACTGTAATAATGTGACAATGGTCGACAGTGTTGATACAATAAGGGATCATGTGGTATGTCATGGGTTTAGGCCGCAATATCATGTGTGGGTTTGGCACGGTGAAGAGGGATCGTATAGGGAGAATGTTGTTGGGAATGATACTCACGATAACAAAGCCGAGATTCGTGCGGAAGATGATTATGGTAGTGATGGTGGTGGAGATGGAGATGAGGATGGGGATGAGATCGAGGACGGTGGTGGTGATCACTTGGATGAGATGATGCATAATGTTGAAGGTGAATTTGGTGACCGATGTGATGTATTTGAGTCGTTATCAGAGGCTGCCAAAAAGCCGTGCTAACACTTTTTAACATTAAGTCAAAGTATAACTGGAGCGACACTAGTTTTACTTCTTTGTTGACTGTGTTATGTGACATGTTGCTTGATGAGAATGAACTTCCTAAGTCGTACTATTATGCAAAGAAACTCATGTGTCCATTTGGTTTGGAGTATAAGAATATACATGCATGTCCTAATGATTGTGTTCTTTATCGAAATGAATATGAAGAGTTGGAGGAATGTCCACGTTG